TCTACTTACACCTCAGGTATGCATATAAATATTTCTAGTGTATTTTGTTTACAGGTATTCTAACTAAAACATGAGGCAGATAAAAATCAAAGGCAAACAAGGGATGAAAAATGTGGATAATAACCATTATACAAATGGTATAGCTGTAGTAACTGCAGACACAGAAAACTATAAGGCATGATGATTATTAGAAAGAAGGAGGGTATTTAAATGCTAATAAAATCGTCAGCTCGACAAGGAGATAGACTTTTAAACTTGTGTATAACTAATAGCAAATCTTTAAAATATGTCAGGAAAACACAGCAGAATTCAAGAATAAGCACAGTCCTGATATAATAGGCCTGAAAATAGGTATTTGACAACACCAGTAACTGTGTGCAAAGTCATGTGAAGCTGGTATGCACAGTGACCACAAAGCAAGGCTCTCTAGGCCTAAGTTAGAAGGGTTTAAAGCCTGACTCAATCAAACATCTGTCCATTTGGAGAAGATATTTGTAGCATGTGACAAACCTTAATTAGAATAAATTTAAAAATAAGAGAATAATAAATCACTATGCAAGAGATTTGCCCACTGGAAATGTAATAACCCACAAATGCAGGGAAGGAGACGTAAAAGATTAAAAAATGTATGAGGGATACCCAACCATATTAAGAGTTAAGGTAGTGAAAACAAACCCCAACAATATTCCAATCTATAATCATGAGGCTGGCACATCTTAGGAAGTTGTGTAATATATAAGGTGTAGGCAAGTAGGCAAGACTAATACTCCCTTTGACACACATAATTATGAATTGGTACAGCTCCATTAGAAATTTGGCACTTTCTAATAAATTTAATCATGTTCTTATTATCTTTTTTAAAGTTATTTTTATTTTCTTTGTTTGAGCTTTTTTGTCTGCATGTGATGTATGTCTGTGTACCCATGAGCACTGGGTGCCTAGGGAGGCCAGAAGTGGACTTAGATTTCCTGGAGCTGAAGATACACACAGTAAGCCATCCTGGGGTTACTGGGAATTTGAACCCAGGTCCTCTGGAAGAACATCCTGTGCTCTTAACCACTGAGCCGTCTCTCCAGCCCTCATTCCTAGTCCCTTGTCAGGATACTACAATCCTAGTTATATGATATATACAAGAGAAATTCTCACATACGTATATGAAGACACACAGAAAATTGTTCATAGAAGCCAACAAGTGAAGCATCCAACAGGTTATCAGCAGTGGGTGGATAAATGATGACTTAGTGACAAAGTGTCACACACACCTTTGAAAAATCAGATTGGAGCTATACCCATCCCCATGGATAAACCTCAGAACTCTAGCTATTTGTTTAAATTTTGAATAATTATTTATTTTTACTTTATGTGTGCTTTGCCTAAATGTATGTATGTGCACCATGTGCACGCAGTGCCCTCAGAGTCAGCCGAGGGTATTAGAGTCACTGGACCTGGGGTTACAAGTCTCCACATGGGTTCTGGCCACTAACTGCTGATGATGGCCACTAGCCATCTCTCCATCTCTTGAGCAAGTGGTTTTAAACATTGGTGACTACAGGGGTATTATTTAGAGTGCTCATGGAGAACCCAGAATGTTTGCTCCTTGAAGTGGATTAGGGCTGGATTTCTATATAGTTATCAATCTCCCAGATGACTCTGATGTACCACAGAGTATGAAAAACACAGTATTAAAACAGGATCACAGAAGGATCCATATTGTGACACACACACACACACACACACACACACACACACACACACACACACACAGAGTTAACCAAAACATACAAGACTAAGCTACATGCCATCTAGGCCCTAGCGTGACAAATGCTGTTTGAGGCAAGAAGGGAGGCATAAGCATGAGAAACCATCCAACTATGATGTGGGCATCATTTTACTTGTTAGTTTGATAGAAGATACAGTGAATTCATTTCGTTTTTCATATTGAATGTACAAAATGATTATGCACATCTCACAGTGAAACTTACAGTGTAAAAAAATTAAAGCCTTTTTTGATCCTGTGTACTCAAGTGGGCATCATATGATACTCTGCTTTTCCACCCCCCCTTTTTCCTCTGCTAGTTTATTCCACAGTGGTGCATACGCATTGCCCTGCTGATTTTGTTTATCAGCTGCACTATGTGAATGCATGCCTAACTAGGAAAGGGGAAGTTTGCCCTCCAAGCTCCTTATTTAAATTGGCTGCTTATATTTCCCTCTGTACAGGAAGTCTAGAATTTGGGGTCTCTTCCAGTGATATAGAGGCATACATCCTGCTAACAGTGAGCAGGGAGTGAGCACATCCCTATGCTCACTTCTGTAGTACTTACAGAACCCAGCAGGGCTAGCAGGCCAGGAGAAGATCCTGGCCTGCAGCTGTTAGACCAAACTGCTCATCTATATTCAGAATTAGGCAAGGACAGGAGTCAACCTTTTTGGTTGTCTGTAAATAACTGACAAGTGGACTCCCAGGTCTTTATTGCAGATATCTCTGGATTGGACAGGAAGGATAATCTGGAAGCACAGGGAGTGAGGTAGAATTTTATTAGCAGACAGGACCATGCTGTGACCCGTGGCCATCAGATCAGAACTGGGCCGGGGGAGACAGGAAAGTATGCATGGTTCCAGCAGATGGAAGCTATTAGGTTGCCATAAAGCTGTGCTAAGTCTTCAAGGGGTCCTGGGTAGGCAGAACAGAAGAGGAACAGTTGGCAAATCAGGGCAGATGGGGGCAAGCATTGAGTACCCACCACTGGCCATATCATAGTGTACCTTAGCTACTTATCACAGATGAGCAGCAGGTTGCCATGGAAAGTACTGGACCACCATGTAGATCAAATCCCTAACAAATTTCCAAAATGTGCCTAGAGTATGGTGGTGAGAACTGAGTTTCTGTTTGTCCTACTGGCAGTTGAAGAAGCAGGAGAGGCTTAATAAACGGATTTCTAGAAAAGAGGCTGTTGCCTCCACAGTGGCATTTTCCATCGAGAATATGTGAGAAAAACAAATGGCAGGAGACTTAGAGTTGTGTTCTCTCTAACACCTTTATACACAATTCCAGTTTTGTATTTCATGACACCTACATTTCTCATCTCCTTCCTTTTGCATGTTAATTAATTAATTTTGTTAGTTTAGAAGCAGGATCTCACTCTAGCCCAGGCTGGTCCATAACTGACTATGTAGCCCAGGCTGGCCTTGAACTTACAGCAGTTCTCCCTCAACCTCTCTAATGCTGGGAGTAAAAGCATGAGCCACTGTGCCTGGCTAACATCATGCATTTTCTGGATAAGAAAGTCCCTCTCCAAATCCTCGATGCTTCTAGTTTAGGCGAAGTGAACTGTGTACTTGATACTCTTTCTGATATCTATCCTTCCCTTGAGATTAGGCTGTGAGTTCTCTCATCCTCTAGTCTGTGTTCTCAGAAGGGCCTTGGTCCCCAGGGCAGCTAGAACAGAACTGAGTGCACATGTCCAGGCCCTGCTTATCCTCTGCCCACTCTGAAGCTCTCTGTGTTCAGGGACTGTCTCTTCTGACCACTTTCTTCCCTTTTGAACATCTCTTGTTTCCAATCCATCATGAATATAAATTTCAGTGACATGGGTCTAGATCCACATGTCATAGCATTTTAACTGCTGTGAGATCACGTAGTTCAGTATACTTAGAAACTGACACTTAAGGTAAGAGGATCTGGGTTTTTGTGTTTTTCTCTCTTCCAGATCTTAGCAAGTGCTGTCAGCTGACTAGGCTTCACAGACACACAGCAGCATCCTAAGACGGACCCTAAATGCTTGATTTAGCATCGTATCCCTTAAAATGTTATGCTCTCATTTAAATGATTTCGAAATCCCAACCACTAATTTCCTGCCTGGCTGGCTCCATTTGTACTGTCACGGGGTCTCAAAACTAGAATGGGTCATCTGCAAAGAGGAAGATTTAAAGATTATTTTAAAATACAACTATTTTAGTTAAAACGTTGACTTGGAGCCAAGCGTTGATGTAGTAGTTTCTCAGAGACAGGGAGCCTGCCATGTCCTTAGTCTGCCTGCCGTATGCTGGAACACTGGGAGAATATTGGTTTCCATTTCCCTGTAGTTCAGTTTTAGGCCCAGCTGTGCAGCCTTGCCACTGTCCTCTCTGCCTCCACCTCCTCTTTGTTCTGCTCTACTCCATGCTCCATAAAGCACCCGGAAGTTCTCAAAAAGGCTGTTCTGATTAGAGCATGTTTGTATCGAAAAACTTTCAAGCTCCTTACTTCCCCTAGGGAAAATACTTGCTTTCTATGTTGCTGCTGTTGTTTGTTTGAAGTGGAATGGATGGACCCTGACTTCCCCATCTGCCTCTCTTCCACTGGTGCCTCTACACGGAACAGTTCATCTACGCCCTGTAGACTCTATAGCGCCAGGTTCCCAGCTATGCCGCTTTGTCCTCAACACACACACACACACACACACACACACACACACACACACACACACACACACACACACCCCTTGTTTACCTATGTTCATTCTTAGGCCGAGTTTAAGGCTGATTTCTTGTAGAAGCCTCCTTTGGAGAGATCTCCCTATAAGTAGCTCCCTTTTCAATTTTAATGCTTGAGGATGAAATGACATGACAATTGGATCCCCTTCATAGCATTCCTAGGGTTGTTTTTTGAGCATGGCATTAGTAAATGCATGCAAAACACCTAGAGTACCAAGATCTAGCACAATAGATGTCTTTGATCCCCTGCACAATTGGTATGATCCATAGTGAAGGATAATTTTTGACCTCTTGGTACTTACTACAGACCAGATTTCAGAGGGAATGCTGAATAATCCTGTCTGCACCTACGGGATGGGAAGTAATTTTTTGTAAATAAGCAACTAATGACATGTGTAGCTTGGGCCTAATCCTTTGGCCTCTTTAGCATTAACTATTTGGGCTTTTGGCCTTGATGCCTCCTAGTGACTTTTTTTTTTTTTAAATCCATGAGGGTATAAGCATGGATCTGATTATTTCTTCAGGAAATCAGTGACCCCGAGATCCTGGATCTGGTCCACAGTGCCCTCGGCAGGATGACCGTGGTCCGGCAAATCTTCCCATCTGCGAAGGACAACCAGAAATGCATGAGGAATAACCACCGCATCTCTTCCCTGCTCTGCGATCCGCAGGAAGGCTACCTCCAAATGCTGCAGGTCAGTGCACAGTGTCTCCTCCATGCAGGGCCCCCACCACACCCATGGCCGGAGACTGGAGACATGCTGGGCCTGCTGGGCGCTAGCTGAACACGGTTACCCACTCACTAATGACGAAAGTGCTGTCATTTGCTGAAATGGAAACCAGTCAACTGGACACAAGTGTCTTTTAGTACCATTAGTGGTAATTATGCCTGGTACCAGCAGGCAGGGTTTGCTTGCTTACAGATTACCTCTGGTGTTTAAAAGTAACATGATTGAGGTGGGGCAGATTGCTCTCTCTTAGTCCCCTATGCTGAGTGCTTTGTGGCAGGGCTGGAGTTGGAGACTTCCTTTGAGTTTTTCCTTATAAGAAGTTACTTAAACAGATGCCATGCTTTCAAAACATTTGGCACAGTCTTGGCACATCTGCTGCTAGGATGCTGCAGGATCTCCACCAAGCAAAAAGGCCAGAGAACAGTTTTAGGGCATAGCCAGATGCTCTACCCCTTCCTAGATGAGAGGTGTAAACTTTGTTTTTGTTAATACTCCAGTCACTGTCTTGGTATGTGTGGAGTCTTCATATTCCGGCCTTGTGGCCTTGGCATAGTAAACAGGTATTCTGCCCATGTACAGATAGTTTTCTGTGTTGATCATTGGAAACAGGGAATAGTGTGGTGAATGCCCACTGGTTTCTCTGAATCCACATCAACATTTGGAATATGATGCACAAGAAAACTTGAACGAGGGCCACGTGACAAAAGGAAGGGTCTCTTATTGGGTTTGCGGAAATTGCCTACAACTTTGCACATAGAGTATGCTCACCATTCAGCATTAGAAATCAGCCCTGCCTTCCTTCCTCAGCCAAGAGTGAAGAGCAGAAATCAGGAGTTCAGATCAGGGCTGCCTGTATCCGCCCCATGAATGTCAGCCTTACTTAGGACCCTTCTGCTTTCACTGTATCAGAGGACCTTCATAATGGAGTGAGGACTGTGGGAATCTTGGGTGGGCTCTAGATACATTTAATTAGTGAAAGCATTGACTCCAACTCTGCAGTCTAATGTGTCAGAAGGAAAGAGGAAAAACTTATCTCATAGATGTCACACATGAGAAACTTGTTCTCACTGGGTAGGAAACATAGATGACAATGATTACCCTGGGGCACCTTCCCTCCCTTGGTGCTCACTGTGCCAGAGAGCACATTGGCTAAATTGGCATGGTAGAATGGCTAAGATTTTTCTGAGATGGTAACAATTTTGTTAGAGACTGGAGCACTGGTCCTCGACAGAGCCATGAACTAGAGACTTTGGATTGCGTACGGTATAATTTTGTTTTGTCTTCTTTTTTATTTTTTTCTGGGGAATAGAAGAGGTGATTAGGAACAAGCGGGTCCCTCTCACTGGAACCTGTCTACATCCTCCTCTTTCTCCACGTAGATATGTACAAAGCTGGACAAAGGACCAGGCCACATGAGTGTCCCCACTCTGTGTAGGGGAGAAGGGATACTTTTGCTGGCTGGGCCCAAGTGCATGGCTCTCCTTCCTTTGATGATCTCCCAGGTTCCCTCTCCTTTGATGTATTTTATTCCTCTCCAGTCTCTGCCATCCTTGCCTATGTCCTACCTCCTATCCTTTTATCTGTTTTCCAGTTCTCATTAAGTTAGTTTTCCCCAAAGGAGGGCCATTTTCAGTTTTATAGACATGGGCAGTACAGGATCTGTCAGAGGAGACAGGGCTACACTTGTTGACAAAGTTCAGGATGACTCTTCTTGCTAGGTACTGACACCTGTAAGGAGTCAGGCTGTCTCTAGTGCTTCAGACCTGCTAGGTGCAAAGGGTCTGCTCTCTGCAAGAGAACAAAGGAGTCTTGGAGGTTGAGGGGAAGTTCAGTTGATGGCATACTAAAGTGGCATGCACCCAAAAATGTAATAAAGGCTCTGAACCACATACTTCAGGACCACCTCCCTATCTCTGTTCTTTCTGAGACACAAGTGCCACATAAGGAGGAAAATTAAAGAACAAAACCATAGGGACCTGTTTATGGCAGTCATGTGGCCGCCACCGCTGCCGCCACCACCACCACCACCACCACCACCACCACCACCACCACCACCACCACCACCACCACATGAACCAGACCGCCTGAGTGCAAATCCCAGTAGTACTAGCTACTTTTTGGTCAATTAATAATTCTTCATTATTCTATGCCTGTGTTTCTTGCATTGTCAACCCAAGATATGAAAATCTGCTACCCTAGAGAATCATCATGTAAAGTAAATGAGAGAACATGTGGAAAACATGTAGAACAGGACTGAGCTATTAAGAACACTGCCAGTAGTGATGAGGTGGTCAGTATAATTGAAGTTTCCATAGAAAGGCTGGACATGCCCCCCCATCTCCTTATTTTGGCAGCTGTAAACATTACCTTGTGGAGGAGAGCAGTTCCTACCCCTCCATCCCTGGATCACAAGCTTTGAGCTTCTCACTGTCCACATCACTCATTCAGCTGCTCTGTCACAACTGCCTTGTCTGAAGAAGACAGAGCATGTTTTTTATCCATTTAGCTCTTCACGAAAGACCCTGCTCACTGAAGACCATCAATAAGAATATATGGGATAACTCTGCTAATAATCTAGGACTCGCAACCTAAGTTAAATGGTCTCTAGAAGCCACTTTATATAGAGATAAGTAAAGCACTTTATTAAAGAAATCTCTCTCTCTCTCTCTTCATCTGTTGTATCTACATGGTTCTTTGGGGCTATGATGGGAGGGGAGTGTGGATTTATTTACTCCTCTGCCCAACACTTGGGAAGCTTGTAGATTCATCTCATTTACAAGCCATTCCCTTCAAGTTTCCTCAGAAACTATTACCACTTCTTTCTTTCCTAATGACAGTGTAGAAGGCAAACTAATTTCTACTAGCCTCTAGCTGTGAGATTTATCGAGAAGACTCTAACATGCTTAGAACAACCAACTAAAGGAAAAAAATGGCTGTCATGGATTATTAACTTTGTCTTGATGAAATTAATGAAAATCCCCCTGGAAATGGAGCTCCCAAGTCCATTTTAGTTCCTTCCCCAGATGGCTGCCCTTGGGACGCTGATCCTAGCTTAGAAGACTCCAAGGACTGTGGAAGCAGAGGGAGTTTTTACAAGGTCATCCATCTCCAGGCTTCTCTCCCGAAGTGAACTGGTCTCAGAGACTCTGTCTTCCTCTATTAGCCTTGTGGTCAGGGATTTCTGTTTTTGAAAAGCCAACCAAGTACCTTACAGCAAATCAATTTGGTTGCTATTTAGTAGAGAGAAAGTCCCTTGGAAGAAAAATACCTAAGTAAGTGGCTTCCAGCAGCTTCAAAAGGCCTTGCATTTGCCTGCATGCTGTTGTTTATTCTTCCTACAAAGCACTGTCTGACTTGGGTGTTTCTCGTTTTTGTTTTCTTGACAAGTTAGTTTAGGGCTTGTCTGACTCAGCCAGTAATAAAAGTGATAACCAGTCCCTCAGAACCCTGAGAATTTGCTAAGATATCCCAGGCAACCTTGCTCCGGGAAGACTTGCTATTGTGCTCTGTCATTAGAACTGCCTCTCCCGGTGATTTCAACTTGTAATTGAACTAACAGAAGCATTAGCACATTGCCACCCGATCTATTCAAATGTGTTTCCAGAGCGTGGTGGGAAACGTTAGGAACTGCGCTGTCTGGTCACTGTGCTGTCTGATCTAAGCTGTGGGGGCCAATATGGTATTGTCATAAAATGTTCTCTCTGATTGGAATTTTTGTATCTCTGTGCACTTAAAAGTTGGTGAATGGCCTGACAGAATCACCCCTCTCTGTGGTATTTAGTCAGTTAAAGTATATCACCAATCTGCTAGTCCCCATTTCCTAGAAGCCTCTGTTCTTTTTTCCCTGGTTGCGGGTGTCTGGTAAGGGAAGCTTTTCCTCTGCGGCATCAACCAAGCTTCTATCCCAGCCACCTCGGACTTCATGTCGCTTCCAGTGCTTTACTTAGTGGTAAAGACTCCAGTTGGCAATTTGACAAGGACAGAGTGGAAGGCTTCGTGAGTCAGGTGCAGACAGTCTCTGTGGCTTCAGCTGCTTGCTACTTTGGCTGCAGGTGTCCACATCTGTATTTGGAGATGAGAGAGGCTTGTATGGAGACAGATGCTCTTTCACATTCTCCCTTCTGAGTCACTAGTGATCAGAGCCTCCTACAACCCCTTACCCTCAGCCACCATCTGCTCCATCCTCCGGCCTGGCCACAGTGCCCTCTCAAGACAGGTGGGCTAGCAGCAGTTTGGCACAGAGGCCTTGCCTGGGGATAGATTGTTCGTGCTGGGCATCTGGATGTCAGATTGTCCTCCCAGCTGGACCCTCTGTCCACTGTTTATCTGACATTGCTGGCCAACCAGAGCCTGTCTGCAGATTTGGTCAGAGGTCAGTGCCTGCTGTTCATCTCTATGATGTCTCCACCAACAGCCCACTTTACTTGATTAATGACAGAGGGAAGAGCCCACTGGGCTCTTTAGAAGCCTGGAGGAAATGTGGCCATTCTTAATGAAGATCCTGCATTTCCAGCTCTGGATTGTGAGGATAATGGACTGGTGAGAGATTTCTGCTGGCCTGTGTGGCTCTGACCTTGGCCTGCCATTCATCTTCCTTTTCCTTCAAGAATAATTCTTACCCTGATAATGCAGTGGACAACCATCCCCAGGCTTCTAGAGCATGACGGAGACACAGCTGGAGTACCCTAATAAGTCTTGCCTGGAATAAAAGTGTTACTAAGAAGACAAGCACCAAGCACCAGGAGGCAGACAGTCTGGCTGCACAGTGTGGCACACGCATTATCCTGGCCTGTTCAAGCTCCCCCTTTCCCAACCAGTGGAGGTGGCATCCAGATGTGCTTAGACTCAAGGCCTTCCTGAGGATACGAGCATATTTTAGGGAAGAGCCTATATGCATGACCTCAGGTCCTAATCCTTTCTGTAGAAAGTTAGCAGCCTGCCTACACCCTGCCTTGTTGGTACCT